AGTAACCTCCACTCTACAGCATATCCAAGCAAGGTAACATGGGCACCTGCGTTCCCCAGCTGGCAAAGGGTAGATTGTGTGCTTCACTAGGGAGTCAACGCTAAGAGCACAGGAAGCACAAACACTTCCAATTAAGCCTTTCTTCCCCAGCAGTCTGCCTTTTTCTTCTTCCTCATCCTCTAAATCTCACACCCAACTATCTCAGCTGCACACACCGCTCAGCTTTACCCTAGCTTGTTCAGAGCTCCCCATAACCCTTTAGGCGCCCCATAACTCTGCTCATTTCTAACACCAATGGTCAATCTTTTATCAGAGCCAAACACATGCCGGTTTATAGTGATGGATGGACAAGCTGTACTCCCTAGCCTTTTAATCCACTTCTCCAGCTTAAATCTTTGGACTGAATCCCGAGTTAACTTCTACAGTAGTGCTTTGGCTGTGCATTGTGAGCACTTTTCAGACAAAAATCATAATGCCTAGTGGCTCAGTGAGTTTTCAGCGGGCATGTTGGTCACAAGGTGTATTCCCAATCCCAGATGAGACAAACATATTTCCTACCAGCAAAGTCCCAATACAACTGTGTAGATTTCCAGGGTGAGTCTGCAAATACTTTCAGGCAGATGTAAAGCTCACCATTTCTGCACATATCCCTGCCTATTCCTAAGGCATTGATGCCTACAGTCAGATGGGTGGCAAATTGGCTCGATGGGCGAACCCAGAGAGTGGTGGATGGGGCATTTTTGACCGGGAGGGATGTGGGCAGTGGGGTCCCCCAGGGCTCGGTCCTTGGGCCTGTGCTATTCAACATCTTTATCAGTGACTTGGAGGTGGGTGTGGAAAGCATGCTGTCCAAATCTGCTGATGACACAAAGATGTGGGGAGCAGTGGGCACACCGGAGGGAAGGGACAGAATCCAGCTAGATCTAGACAGGTTACAGAGGTGGGCAGATGAGAATAGGATGGAATTCAATGCAGACAGGTGCAAGGTGCTGCATCTAGGGAGAAGGAACCTGCAACACACCTATAGGCTGGGGAACACCCCTGCTCAACAACACAGTGGTTGAGAGGGATCTTAGAGTCGTTGTTGACTCCTGGATGGACATGAGCTGCCAATGCAAGGAAGCGGTCAGTAAGTAAGGCTAACCGCACCTTGTCGTACAGCTACAGATGCATCACAAACAGGTTCAGGGAAGGTGATCCTCCCCCTCTATGCGGCATTGGTCAGGCTGCAGTTGGAGTACTGTGTCCAGTTCTGGGTGCTGCACTTCAAGAGGGATGTGGCTAGCACTGAAAGGGTCCAGAGGAAGACTGCTCGCATGGTCAGGGGGCAGCAGACCAGGCCCTATGAAGGTAGACTAAAGGGCCTGAATCTATTCAGCCTACACAAGAGAAGACTGAGAGGGGATCTGGTGGCCATCTACAACTCACCGGCGGGGACCAGAGAAAAATAGGTGAGGCTCTGTTCCCCCGGGCACCACCTGGGATAATAAGGAATAACAACCACAAATTGATTGAGAGTAGGTTCAGGCTTGATATCAGGAGGCATTACTTTATGGTTAGGGCTGCCAGACTCTGGAACGGGCTCCCAAGGGGGGGGGGGGTCTCCCCTACCCTGG